GAATTAATGAGTTTCTGAATATACTCATTAATTCATTCCTATTGTTTTAGTTAAAGGTAATTTGTTTTTTATATATATGTATGTATATGTGTGTGTGTATATATATATATACACAGACATGTAGGTATACTGGATAAAGTAGAGCCTACCACATGGCTAGTATTGTTTCACAGAATACTTCTCTTTTCTAAAATTCAAGTCTAGTAGGGGGATAACAATGTATTAAACCCATCTGCCCCTGCTCTGTGCTTGCTATTGAGATAGTTTTTTTCCATAAGACTACTTTGGCAGTTTATATATTTTATTTTCCAAGCCATACTGCTACATCTAAAAACAACTAATTAGCACTATGTATGGTTCACTGCCATTACACCTGGCTAGCTTCTGCTGTTCCTGTTCTTAGTAACACATTGTGCAGTCTTTCAGTGAGAGATATTATGTGGATGGTAGATAATCTCTGTTTGGTACATTCACCTCTGATGTTCCCCCCCTACGTAAATTCCTATCTCTTATACTTTTCTAGTTGAGTGAGAGAACTCTTGATTGACCAGTACCAAAATGCTGGGGAGATCAATATGGATAGTTCTCCTTCAGGTCTGTGTAATCCTACTGGTATGAGACCAAGTGGATGCTCCTCTCGATCAAAAGTATGGTAGGGGTGCTTACCTGGAAATGTAGTACAAGTCATTCCCCACAATAAAAACTAAACTGTTCCCAGTGGTTGTAACAAACTGATTCTCCTTGGGACTTATTGCCCTAACCACATTTAAATACGTAGTCTGCTCACTCCCCTTTCATACATATTCAGGGTGAGAAGCCTTAGTCATACTTCAGCATCACATAGGAAGTTATTTTGATTATCTTTCTGCACTACCTCTTGTATTAAGCAAAGAGTATTCCCTACTTGAGATGGATTTGATCTCCCACCGAGTGATGTTCCCACTATGGAAAGAGCTCATCATTTAAGTTTGTTTATTTACACTGGTTCTTCCACCATATTTTTAATTTGGGAATCTAGCTATTTGTTCTGTTGAGAGGTGTGTAACATTTCTCAAGTTAAAATGTTCCTTACATGAAAATGTATTTTGGATAGATAACTCACCTTTCCACAGAATCACCCATCCTTCCTTATATTTTTTGATGAGTGTCTTTTGTCTAGTGAAGAATGAGGTTTTGGTATACACAAAGTGCTCATGGAGAGTACTGAGCATTGAGCATGTGTCTTCCTCCTGTTTATGGAGGGGTATAGTCTAATACTGATTGTATTATAGACTGGTGCAATACACATTATTACATGCACTAAAGAGACATCACTTGCATATTTGGTGGCATCAGTAATTCCTTCTCAACATGTACACATGCATTCCATTGTTTATGGGACCAATCTGGTCAGCACTAGATGATTTTATCATCATAGAACTGCAGTTCACTTGTTACATAAATCAGACTGGCTAACAATGTCCACATCACATCTATCCTCAAATTCCATTGCTTGAATTTAAAACAGAGAATTCTATCTTCATTTGACATATGACCTGGCCAAAATGAAGTCAACTACACATCTCTCCACTTATATTGTTACCATTTGTCAAAATGAAGGTAATGCTAAGCTGTGAAAATGGTAGTACCTTATACATGATAAGATTGAGTAGGGTTCTGACAGCTTCATTATTCACTGGTAATACCTCAACCTTTCATCCGTGACAGGATATGAACATTCTCAAAACCAATGACTAATTTAATCACAGTTGAAATAGCTGCTCCTTCCCTTGTTCTTAGGGATACTGAGAGTCCAACTTTGGTCGTATTTCTGACACCTGGGAAGCCCTGTTGTCACGTATAGAACCATAATCATGGTTTTAACCACTACTATTTGTCGGTATTATAGACTCTTTCAAGTTAATAAACTCTAATAGAGTTCTACAATGAATCTTTTAAGGAAGTTCATTAGGTTCTTTATATAACTTTATTGTTTTTGCTTAGAATCACAATTACTCCATATAAATGCTTATTTAAATACTAAGATTATCTTAAGTTGATTTACTATGAAACTTTGTGCAATTTATGAAATCTGTTCAAAACTTGTTTATAAATTCTTCTACGAACCCAAATAAAGGCATTTTACTAAACCTATGAATGACCTAATTATAATATTATGTCATATTAAATTAATATTTGTGTATATAATTTGATTAGTACCACTTAATAGCTAGTCTAGTTTAAAAAGGTGGCATCTTCAAATTTTTTCCTTAATTGTTGAACTGTAACGTCTAAACTTACATTACAGCAAACTTTCAACATATGTGATTTAAGTTTTTCTATCTGTAGTTGTCAAATGCTAATAATATTCATATTATCCAGAATATTCATGGAAAAGCCTTAACAAACATTGGGGCAAATTTATTGCATTTCAATTTTTATGTTAAACCACCAGTTTTAAAAATATGCTTGCATAAAGTTTTTACAGAACAAAGTAAAACAAGTAAAGGTGCACCAATTATTATATTCATATTGGTGTTGATAGTGACACTGCTGGCAAGTATTAGGATTTGTGATTCAGACTCTCTTGGATACTGGTATCAGAAAATAAATTCATTTTGAAAATATTAAATACTAGCAAAAGTACCTGCTTCGCTTGGGTGATTAGGTTGATAAATTCTAGATGATTATGTTTTTATGTTTCTGGGAAATAAAAATCTTTAAAATATTTTGACTGTTCTTTTATGCTAAAATAGCCTCAAAATACACACACTGACATAGTCATCTAGAATATATCAATTTAATAACCCGAGCGAAGCAATAGTATACGTCCAAACATGTAGAGAGCATGAGATTGTTTTCCAGTTTCATTGTGGTTTTTTACCACTTTTTATCCTGTATAGTAAGTTATTGTATTTTAGTAATTTGGAGACTGGAAACAATCTCATTTTTATAGAATTGTGTATAAAATAATGGTTTTTGTTTTTTAATTTTGAGTGTTTAAGATAGTTGAGGTTTGTTTGAAAATACTTATATGGTACTGTTAAGAATACATTTGTAGGAAAAAAAACATGCAGAAAATGTATGACTTTAATTTTATGCTCAGATATATTATTAAAAGTGTTGGCTTTAATTTTTAAGAAATTGTTTGTTGTACCTTCATAACTGTTAAATATTGTGCATGTATACTAAAAGAAAAAAGACCATTCGTTCATTAAGTCAATAGGTTCTTAAAAGTAAAATATTACATGCAAGTTTATAGTGTATCCATGAAAGTCAATTTTTTTTATATTTATAGGGTATTTCAAAACTCCAGTGTTACATGAAATATTCAGTAACTAATTCAGTTTGTGTCCAAACACACACACTAACAAGACTTATCATAGGTACATATTGTTAGTAAGGAAATTTCACTTTGCTCTCTCTCTTTTTTATATTTACAAAATCCATGAATGTTTTTTATACTTGGCCAGATAGCAAGGTAGATTTAGTACAGCTTTTACACAAACAGTTCTAAAGATGCATAATTTTTATAAAGCATCAAATATACATATTTATATATTCAATTCAGATGTTGTGATTTTCAGATAGTGTCAGGTTTGGAACCCATGAAGATTAAGGAACTTGTGAGTATATTATATATCTTTTCAGAACTTGTGACCTATGTTGACTTTTGTAGTCTGTGAAGTTTTAGCATGTATTCTTTATAAGTAAATATTTTATAAAGAAGACTGTTCTCCTTCAAATGTATTGGTGCAAGTCACTGAATGGTGAAAGTGCTTGATTATGATTTGTGCTGTTATCATATTTTTTCAATTTTCACATTTTTTACCAATTTATTTCATTGGGTCAAGAAATTTCATTATATATCATTTATTAAAGAAAAAATTAACAAAATATTTTTATTAGATTATTTAACTCTGTGCATTCATTAGCTCATTTCCCACAATCTCCAATTAGTAAGGTACCAAAAAGTACATATTTAAAATAACTTATAATAAAGCTCATCCATTTTAAACCAATTGGAATTTTATAATTTTTTAATAAGTAGTACTTACATTGATCATTTATTGGTTATGTGTCTGATAGCTCAGATGGAAATTAGGTAATTGCATGGTATTGTATCTACAATTCTAAAGTTGTAGATATGATTTTAATAAGCAAAAAATGATTAACATTTAGTTTTATTGCAGGATCATTATATTCATAAATGAATACACTAAGACTGGTCACTCAATTTAAATATTAGGTTCTTATATTTTATTTAAACCATAAAGGCAGCAATTTTTAATTAGTTATACATGATGATATGGAGGTAGTATAGAGAGAGAATCTAAAACAAGTATGACTTCAAGAAAATTTCTATATCAAGTGACTTTTATCGGATCATGAGATATTTAGTGTCTAACTTTCAAAGGAGAAACAGTTTAAATGCATGTGACCAACACACTTATACATTTTAAACACAACAATTGAGAGATTGATATTCAAATATCCCAACTGTTCAACAACCATTTATATATGTTATAGTATTAAAATGTTTGGTTGAAACTTAATTATTTACCATATTATTTTAATGTTTGATTATTAAAAACTTTATAAATAATTTGAAAATTTGTATTCCAAAATAATATCTTTACCTCTTTGCACACAGTAGCTATTCCTTGCGTGTATGCCTTTGAGATATTATGTATGCCACTAGCCTTGAGCTATCTCCCACCTAAGACATATTTGAACATGAACTGCACTAGTGCATGATGTAATCATCATGAGACAATAACTCCCCACCAACAGGAGAGTGACAACTCCTCCATGTGCAAAAGATTCCCATAAGCACTTGCACTCGAAATTAACTTCATTATTATCCTTGACATTGTTGTGAATGGACATATTTATTGAAGTTTAAATTTGGTTCAGTATAGTGAGTTTGGCACTGCCTTTATTCTAGTGTTAACTTTTGTTCATTTTATTTCATATTAGTTTTCAACCTTCTTCGCTTTTCAGTTACTGTGTATATTAAAAGATAAGTTGATCTGGAAAATTCCTTTAATAACAGTGAATTCTCAAGTGATGGTGACTACTACCCCCCACAGTTCTGGTGATGTTGCTAACATCTGTGGCTATGTATGTGGCTGCTGGAGGCTAGCTGACTGTGAAAGACTTTACTGCCATTGTTCAATGTGTCATGGGTTTGTTAATGCCTTCATTGCTTCATATCCTTGTTCCTATGTCAAAAGTGCATTCTCCCTTTCTGAGCCTGATCACTAGGACAATGATTTTGATCAGCTCTTTCCACCTCCCAAGTTAGCACTAGACTTCTCTTTATATGTAGAGGACAGTGTTCTTCCTCCAAATTCTTTTTTTTTATTTGATTCTAAGGTTTGTTCTTTACTTTTCCTTTCACCTATATCTTTTGAATTTTCCCATTCCTTACTACATGCCTCTCAGGCTGAGGATTGTTTGGTTTTTGCTCCTTCTTCAATTATATGGTGACATGTTTCTGAATCAACTTCATTCACTCTTTCAAATGCCTTGTCCTCTTTAACTCCAGAATTCATTTACCATGGCTTATGTCAGTTCGTCTTTTTCACTCTTGAATTCTCAAATCCTGGAGTCCATATTTGTTTGCTTGGGAGGCTGACCACCTATCTTCATTAACTCTCTCTAGTGTAAAATTTTTCTGTCTTTGCTTTCTTCTTACTCATCTCCTTTATAACTTATCTTCATCTTCTCTCTAAAGCTATACACCTTGATCCTGATAGTTTTTTGGAGATTTAGATTTGGTACTTTTCAATACTTGACCTGGGTTTTGTCTTCTGCTTTGTCTCACATGCTTAATCCATTGTTGGGACCTTCTGGGACGTTATGCTCTTCGCTTTGCTGCTTTTTTTTCCCCATTATTACCTCCATGACCTTAGTCTGGCTTGTTTTCTTCACTCTGAAATCTTTTGTAATGTTCCTAACACCTTGAAGACTTGGACTGAGGCTGCCCATCACCAGTTCTTCCTTTTCTTCTCAGTTTTTGTCTCTCCCAACCTCTTAATTCATGCCCATTTCTCATCACCTTCACCTCTCTCTCTCTCTTTTTCCATTTCTCATCTCTCTGCTTTTCACTGTTCCCTTCCTGTCAATTTGCTGACACATATCCCATTTGTAATTACCTCCCTTTGCACCAATTCAGCTCACACCCTATAGGGGCATGTCTATTTCTGTTTGCAGACATCTGGACTCCATTTTCAGGTAACTGATGCACCATTCCAGTTCTTAAACTAGGCTTTTTCACTTCTTGTCTCTTCCTCCTTTTTCTCATTTTCCAATTTCTTTTTCCTCTTCCTGTTGACCCTTAGCATCTTCTTCAACTCAAGGCCATGATATTGAATCATTTAGACAAGAGAGTCGTGAGAAGGTCCTTTGCCCCTCTTCAGGGTTTATTCTCATCTTTTTGTTGTCCTCAAAAAGACCGGGGACTGGCTTCCCATCATTGACCTTTCTTTCCTCAACCACTATCAGATGGATTTCTCAATTCATAACGGAGGGGTTTCTTCCTCTCCAATGCTACTTTTCCCTGGACTGTGGATGATCAAGGTCAATGTCTCGGATGCCTCTCTACATATTCGTATTATTCTGTTCTCCAGACATTTTCTTTGATCCCTTCACTGGGTTTAGGTGTACTAGTTTTGAGCTCTTCTGAGTCATAGGAGAAATTTCTCACCACATCCATAGTTTGGGACTTTGTTTCCATTATTACATGGATGACTGGCCCCTCCTTGCATTTTCTTGGTTGGCCCCTTTCTCAGTCAAGTCAATTCTCCTCCAAGCAGCTGCTAATATAGATTAGCTGGTCAACCTTCCAAGTCATTCCTCACTCCAACCAACACTTGGTCCACCTTGAAGTCTTTTTTTTCAATTCTGAACTCAGTTGGGCTTGGCTCTCCCATTTGTCTATGAAGCATCTAGTCACCTCGACTCTTGCCTCTCCTATACTATCTATTCAGAAGATTCTAAATATTGTGAGGACTCTTCTGTTTCTAGAACATCTTTCTCCTTTAGGCCAAGCTTAAGTATAGCTTTTTCAACGTACTTTAAATGGCTAGTGGAATATCTCTTCCAATCCTTTGTCCTCTCTTGTGATGCTGATGCTGCCACCTTCTGTTCTCGAGGATATGTCTTAGTGGCTGGATCTTATCAATACTTCTGCCCCATGTCTGGATCTTCATCTCTTCACTCATGCATTTCTTAATGGTTGGTGCATATCTATGAATGACTCCATGGCCTCAAGGGTTTAGTCTCATGTGAAAAGTAATTTCCACATCAGAGTTCTAGAACTCTTGGCCACCCATCAGGAATGTCCATGTTTCCTTCCTTGACTTGTGGATCGCTTGAAGTGAAGGTATGGTAGAGAAGTGTAGAAGGAGTCTCATGCATCACATGAACATATCATGCTACTATTGGTTAAGAGATGACACATGATGATTTACATGAGAGACGTGTTGGAATATAGTAATTCCAACAGGAGGAGAAGGAAAGGCTTGTGGCACGTGTAAGGAAAAAGATTGCATATAGAGAGCATCACTGAACAAGAATAGCTAATCTTGTGAGCGGAGGTAGTACCTATCAAAAATACATTTTCAGTATAGAAAAATTAACTTTTGGCAGGTGTATCTGTTTTTAATTACCTTTATGAAGATAGGTTCACCTGTTGAAAGAGCCAATGTTTGTTGTTTTTTTTGTCATTTATTAAAATTTTTGGTCATTTTTATTTTTGTAATATCATGAATATATCCATTCATTTCTCCTACAAATTTGACTGTGTTTTGGTTGTAAAGATGTAGGCTTTAAATTTAGTTGTGTACAGAGCTGAATATTAGTATAATTATTGTTGTGAGCAAGATAGTGTTTAATGATTCCTGGTACACCTTGTATCATAGATCCAATATGGAGAAACCTGTTGCCAATGGAAAACACTGGCATAATGATGAGCTACGAAATTTTGAACAAAACTTGCAAAAGATGAGTTTTCATCAATCTAAAGATGGTGCTAAGAAAGAACAAGATGTCCATTCTTTCCCGGAAGGAGGTTGGGGATGGGTGGTCTGTCTCGCCTCATTTTGGACAAATGGAATTATATTTGGAGTGATGAACTGTTACGGAGTCATTTTTGTAAAGTTGAAAGACCAGTTTGAAGCTACTCATAGTGATGATGCTGCATTTTTGACTTGTGAGTTGACTCAGTTTTTTTTTTTTAAGCAACATTAGAGTAACTTCAGTAGGAATAAAGATATCATCTTTACGCAATGTTCAGTTTCAACATTTTTCTATTTTCAATGTCTTTAATAAGAATGCTGAAAAATTCCAAAATTAGTGAAAGAATTATTATAATAGTTTACAAAAGACACATCATATGTAACTTATGCCATATTTGGCAATTTAATGAATGATATGAACTGGTACAAATGCATGTTTTGTATCTGTTGAAATATTTTTTGTGTGTCTAATTAAGTTTTATTTTTGCTTGTTACTCACACAAACAAACACACACACACACACACATATATATATATCTGCTGTACGGCCAAGGGCGGATGGTACGGTACAGCTAGTTCTTTGACTTCCCTTCGACGTTGGGTTTAGGT